ATGTTAGTGTTTATTATTGATAGTGTAAACCAGCCAGTCAGATTGTTTTCCCCATCCTTGAGGTTGAGCTGATAGATAGGAGTACATTTTTAAACAATGTGAGGTGATTAAACACACAAATTTTATTTGTTTGGTTAATATTTAAGAGTAGATGAAGTTGTGCTCCTTAACCAATTTATCAACTGTTTGATCTGATGTGTTTTACAAACCAATCTGAGTAACAAACTTCCGTTCCAAACGTGTGGGTAATTTTTGTCAGTAGGTGTTTTAAAACTGAAAGTCAATTTCTCATGAATGATTTCGCTATGATAACCTGAGATCCAAACTTTTATATCTTAAGCTATGAATATTTTTTATTTAAGTAATGTTACACAAAACGGGATAAAGTGTTTGACGTTTTCTTTCACCAGATGCTGGAGCTTCGAGATCATATTGAAGAACTACACAAACAGCACAAGATGATGTCCGAATCTCCCAAACATAGAGATATCACTCAGGAATTTGCTTTACGTAGTACCCTCAGAGATCTAAATGCAAGCTGCAAGGTAATATGCAAAACCCTGTGAATATTACATGTGTATTTAAGCTCTTTTGTTCAGATTAAAATAAGAATTTTGAAGTGAAAAAAGATTGCTTTCATTGATATATATTGTAAAATATATGACAAAAAACGTATGTAGTTGTACAAATAAAAAGATCTACTTTAAATTATAAATCAGTAATAATGAATCTCATAATTTTAATAAAAATGATGAAAAGTAATAATAATGTTTTATAAATTTTGAATATGGTTAATATATTCTGTGTTTCTAACAAGAAAATTAGTCGTTTTAAAAAAGGAAGGAAAAAATATATATTCATTCTACTCTTGAAAATGTTCCTTTACGAGAAAATTAGTCGTTAAAAAAAGGAAGGAAAACAATCTTCGCAAGTTTTATCAGGATTTTTCCCTTTATTTCTTTTATTTATGTATATTCATTCCACTCTTAAAAATGCTCTTTTACTTCAGATACGGAATGTGCCATCGTTGATTAGAACTCGTACATCAAGGGGTGTTTTGTTTAAAACATTACATTATTTTCTTCCAGTGACGATTTTCTATTGTCCTCTTTGTTCTGTATTTGTTTTTTCACATGCCAGAAATGATAACTTGGATAATTTTTTCTTTTTATTTATATCTTCGATATTAAACTTGTTCAGCAAAATGATGGCTATTTATAATATCAAAATGATATCAGGCCTTGGCAAGGGGTAAAAAATAATAATTTATTTATCAACACAACTTGTGGAAAAGTTTAAAATTAAAAGCAGGTACAATGTCTAAAATTCACAATAAAAACTATTTGGCTAGCAGCCAACATCAAAAGACTACATTTTTCTGTAGCTTTACACTGCCATAGACTAAAGTAAAAAATATGTGAAAAGTGGGTAGAAAAAGATTTAACTCATTGTAAACTTAGCAAGTGGTATCTGACAACACTTGTTCTGTACAATGATATTTTGTTCTAGTGTGATATCAGACATCAAAGATGACATCCCATCATTAGTTTTGATCAAATATTGTCTGTGATGTAGATGTAATGGAACTCTATAGAAAAAGAGAACTCCGCAATGCTACCCCAGGCATGGCTTGTTGGTTAGTGTGCCGGACTTCAGATCACATCACTGAACATGCTCATCCTCTCAGCCATGGAGTATTATAATGTGACAGTCAATCCCACTTCTCATAAAAATTTAGCTCAAGAGATGGTGGTGGGTGGTTTTGACTAGCTGCCTTCCATCTGGTCTATTACTTGTAAATTAGAGATGGCTAGCATAGCTAGCTCTCAAGTAGCTTTGTGTGAAATTCCAAAAACAAACAAACAAACCACAATGCTATCATGTACAATTAACTCTTTCAGCACAGGCTTGGCTCCTGGAACCAACCTCGTAATCATTTTGTGCTCGTTATAGTTTTCATGCTATAACTTTTAAATTATTAAGCATACGTTAATGAAATCTGGCAAATTATCAGTAAACATTACAATGTTCTCATACACAAAATATAAAATTTTTTATTCAGACTTAAGGTTTGTAAAGCAATGTTTTTCCCATGCCTTTTTTTTTCTTTTCGCATATTGCCTATCCAACATGCAAAGAAATTTTCATTTTAAGATTAAAAATACTTTTGTCATCAGAAAATTTTTTTAATTTCACACATGAAGTCTTTATAATGTCCAGATAGTTATCAAATGTTTCTTAAGAAAAAACTTTATATTTTATCTGTTATTTTCAGTAATAAATCTCTATACAGATTTGGTCAATTTGACCGATCTTGTAACCACGTTAAAAAAATTAGGAAATAAATATAAATTATGCCTTTTTTATTCTAGAATGACATGAAAACATAAATGTTTAGACTAAATAGCTTAAATCTCATATCATTATACATTTGTATATATTTCTTATTTTTATTATATTGACCTTCTAGCCATGCCAGGCTAACAATACATAAGTTACAATGATGCGGTACACATGCCACATTTTACCATATCCAGTAATATAAAACTGACCTTTAATCTGTACAATGTGACCTGTCTTGGCTGTGTTTTAGTAGACTAGTATTTTGTAAAATACAGTCACATTTTAATTATTATACAATATATATATGTGTATACATTATTGCTATTTAGAAATAAGTTCTTAAACTTATTTTTTTTAAATATAAAACAGTAACTAAAGAAGTAAAGCAAACAACTATTTCTTCTAGATACGACCTTTGTACTTGGTTGCTGCATAATTTAGGTTGCTAAGCCTTTTAAAATTTTGTACGTGGAGGATATTAAACGAAATAACTTTTTTTAGGTTTTATATATACATTCGAATAACTAAAAAAATCATAAATTACTTTATCAATACCATAGAATCCCACTATAATTTATCAAGCTTAGTAATTAAGCTTTATTTGGGTCTAAAAAAAAATGAAATTTTGAGCAGATTAAAAACACTACCTACCTCTTTGTAAGCTTGGTTTGAAAGAAAGCGGTGGCATCCAAACATATTAAAATGGCTGAGAAAGCCACTAGATGGACAATCTGAGCTTTCGATTGGTTATTCATGTTATATATAAAAGTAACTGTATATAAGGGAGCATTTCCAAAAATGGAAAGAGGTGAGTGGGGTGTCACTGTGTTTGATTTATTACATGAACAATACCTCAGCAAATAGAAAAGATAGGAGGTTCTTGTTTTATATTCTAGCTTGTTAATATCAGTATTTTGAGCTCTTAATTAATACGAAACTGTAGACTTTGACTTCACAAACATCTAATTGGAACCAGTGCTGCATTCAACATACCACATGACACACAAAAATCAATGTTTAACTGTGTTCTTATAATATTTACTTTTATATTAAAAAATTGAAATACTAAAATTTGAATTATAATCTACAACTTGATACCAAACTTATTGACATAATTTCAATAATAGTAGTTCAGTAAAATTTTTAAGGCGAGTCAACAAAGCAGATGACATGGCCTTTCACCCGTGACTTATCTGGAAAGGGTTAACAAGTACACAGAATCCATTACAACATTCTTTGTTATAATTTGTTAGTTTTCCTCTTTCAGGAATGGGATCAGCTGTCTGAACAACAGAAAGAGATTGAAGATAAACTACAGGAGTTGGAAGCATCCCCACCAAGGTTAAGAAACAATGATTCTTTAGGCTTAACATTTGCTTACAAAGTACCAAGGTTAAGAAACAATAATTCTTTAGGCTTAACATTTGCTTACAAAAGTACCAAGGTTAAGAAACAATGATTCTTTAGGCTTAACATTTGCTTACAAAAGTACCAAGGTTAAGAAACAATGATTCTTTAGGGTTAACATTTGCTTACAAAAGTACCAAGATTAAGAAA